CCTCCTCCAGTCTGCCGGGACTTCGCCTGTTCTCCAGGAATTCTCAAAGATGACTGCCAGTGGTTCTGAGATCACATGTGCCAGTTCTTTTAATACTCTTGGATGCAGTTCATCTGGCCCTGGAGACTTGAATACATCTAAACTAGCCAAGTATTCTTGTACTATCTCCTTAGTTATTCTGGGCTGTGTTTCCTTTGCTGAATCATTTGCTCCAATTTCTTCAGGTCGGGCATTGTTTTCTTTATCGGAGAAGACTGAGGCAAAGAAGGCATTGAGGAGTTCAGCCCTTTCTGTGTCCCCTGTTTGCATTTCACCATCTTCTCCTCTGAGTGACCCCACTGTTTCTTTGTTCTTCCTTTTGCTACGAACATACCCATAAAAGCCTTTTTTGTTGCTTTTAACCTCTCTAGCAAGCCTGAGTTCATTCTGTGCTTTAGCTTTTCTGACTTTGTGTCTACACGTGCTGGCTATTTGTTTGAATTCCTCTTTGGTGGTTTCCCCCCTTTTCCATTTTTTGTACACATCCTTTTTTAATCTTAACTCAGTTAAAAGTTCTTTAGATAGCCACCCTGGCTTCTTTAAGCACCTTCCATGTTTCCGTCTCATTGGTATTGCCTGACGTTGTGCTTTTACTATCTCCCTCTTAACAAACTCCCAGCCATCATGAACTCCCTTTCCTTTTAGTATTACTGTCCATGGGATCTCACCCAGCACTTCCCTAAGTTTTATGAAGTCGGCTTTCTTAAAGTCAAGAAATTGAGTCCTAGTATGCTTGGCTGCTCCTTTCCGCTGTATAGTAAACTTCAGAAGAGCATGATCACTCGCGCCTAATGATCCTTCCACTTCTACCCCACTAACCAGGTCATCAACATTGGTTAGGACCAGATCTAAAATGGCTGTTCCTCTTGTTGCTTCTCCCACTTTCTGGACAATGAAGTTGTCTGCAAGGCCAGTGAGGAATCTGTTTGACCTTATGCTCTTGGCTGAGTTTGACATCCAACAAATATCCGGGTAATTGAAGTCCCCCATTACTACTATCTCCCTTCCTTTTGCATGCTTGGCCATCTGTTCCAGGAAGGCATCATCTATGTCCTCCGTTTGGCTTGGGGATCTATAGTAAACTCCCACAATGAGGTCTCTGTTATTCTTCTCTCCCTTAATTTTGACCCAAATGCTCTCACTTTGGCTTTGAGGTTCTAAATCTTGGATTTCTTCACAGGTATACACATCCCTGACATATAACGCCACTCCTCCTCCTTTCTTGTCTGGTCTGTTTCTCTGAAATAGATTGTATCCCCCCATTATTACATTCCAATCGTGGGACTTATCCCACCAGGTTTCAGTGATGCCTATTATGTCATATTTAGTTTGCTGTACCAAGAGCTCAAGCTCATCTTGTTTATTTCCCATGCTTTGCGCATTAGTGTACAGACATTGGAGTCCATTAATCATTCCCCCGTGTCTCTTATTTAAGGATTTTTTCCTCCCACCACTAGGTCTGCGTGCTGTTTGCTCCATTTGGTCTATGACGTTTGGATGATCATCTACATCAATTGATAGACTCCTACCTTCAGGAGCACTGTCTCCCTCCCCCACATTAGTCAGTTTAAAGCCCTCCTGATGAGGTTTCTGAGATTTTTGGCAAAAACATTTCTCCAAACCGTTGTGAGGTGCAGCCCATCGCTTGCCAGAAGTCCATCTTCAAGAAACTGCAGTCCGTGATCTAAGAATCCAAACCGTTCCTGTTTACACCATTTGCGAAGCCAGCTGTTCACTTCCACTATTTTCCCCTCTCTCCCTGGGCCACGTCGTTCAACTGGGAGGACAGATGAGATGACAATTTGTGCATTTAGTTGCTTCAATTTCCTGCCGAGAGCCTCGTAGTCTCTTTTGATCTTCTGGAGGCTATTGCTTGCAGTGTCATTGGTTCCCACATGAACCAAGAGGAAGGGGTATTTGTCAGTGGGTTTTATGATTCCTTGCAGTCGTTCAGTTACATCTTGGATCTTAGCCCCGGGGAGACAGCACACTTCCCGAGACATCTTGTCAGGCCCACAGATCACTGCTTCTGTTCCCCTCAGTAGGGAATCCCCTATCACCACTACACGCCTCCTCTTAGGTTTGGTCGGGGTTCTTCCGTGAGCTGTCCGTTCCAAGATCGCCTGCACATTCCCTGAGGACTGACTTTGCTGCTCGTCTTCATATACCTGATCGACTGTAATGAGGGAGAGATCCTCAAATGGAGTCTGCTCTTCGTCTTCCATGTTAGGGGAGAGGACTTCAAAGCGATTGTGTATTTCTATACAATCAGAGCGAACCCTGGGCCTCCTACTTCTTTGAGTCACGTTTCTCCATATATCTGGCTCCTGTGTTGGTGAACTAGCCTCCTTCTCAGGGGAGTCCCCTGTCTCCTCCTTGGTGGAGACGGTGTGCTCTGTTGCTTCCAAGAAGAGCTCCAGCTCTCTAATTCTTTGGAGCGTAGCTACACGTTCCTCCAGTTGCTGGACTTTGTCTTTTAAGAGGGCAATCAACATGCAATTGCTGCAGGTAAAGCTGCCTGCAATCTTTGGCAAGATGGCAAACATTGCGCAGGAACCGCAGGCGACTGCAGCTGTTCCCTCCCCCTCCATCTTGAGAACGTGTCGTTGGGGGTGGCTACAGCGGTCCTCCATCATAAAAAGCGTGAAGACAGGACAAATAACTCCCCCCACAAGAAAAACACCTAGGTCTCCCCCAACAAATGTTTGAGACTAGCTCCCCTAAATCTAAAAGATGGATCAAACTAATCCCCTGCCTCAACAGAAACCCTGCCCCCTCTGACCTTTGCACAGGGAAAACAGCTAATCAGCCACAAAGAAACACACAAGAAAACCCTTTTTGCTCCTTCTTCAACTGCTGCCCTGCTAGGTCTGAGACATCTGCAGGCAGCTCTGTATAGGGAAGTTTTTTAATGTTGAATGCTTACCGTATATATGTTGGAAGCCACCAAGAACTGCTGGGGCAACCCAGTCAGATGGGAGAGGCATAATAATAATAATAATAATAATAATAATAATAATAATGGCATAGGACATCTCTATTTTCATTGGAGAAATGTTGGAGGGTATGTATGGGCCTTTAGAGGAGTTCTCTGACGTCCCCAGAAGGAGAGACACCAGCCTCTTAGGGAACATCTCTCTCTTCCCCGTGCCAAACGACTGAGGCCCAGAGCCTTTCCTTCATACAGTAATGGATTCCAGCCGCCATCTTGAGCCCAAAGCCAAAGGGCCGCTCCCGCTTCCCACAGGGAGGCAGAGAGTCCTTCCCACCATGATAGGACTCTTTGTGACTTCTTCACTGCACATCTGAGGCCATTTCAGCACTTGTGAGGGGAAGTGGCTCATTTCAGAGACCTAAAATGCCGAGGGGAGCCATCATTTTCCCTCTCTCTTATGGCTCCTCTGAAGGACTGAGGGGGAAATGTAGAGTGGAGCAGCCACACTTTTGGGGGCTGACATTCCTGAGATAAAAAAAGGGGGGAAGAGGGAAAACAGAAGAGGCTCGGGGGTTTTTTTCAGGAGGATTTGAAGTGGGAGCCATTTGTTTGATAAATGCCACCACCACTATGGACCCTTGTTTAATTTTTGCTGCTGTTGTTCTCCGTGCCTCAGAAAACAACCACAACCGCAAACTATATGTGTTTTATTTGATCGCTTGGGTTCTAATCTGCTAGAAGAATAGAGGAGTCAGCCTTCTGCCATGTGTCTGCTCTGAGGCACTGAGGAGGTAAAAAGGAGGCTGGGGCAGCCATGTTGCCGCTGGGGGCGACCTTCATGAGGTAAAAAAAAAAAGGGAGGGAAAACGGAAGATTTCAGGTAGCAGCCATTCGCTTGATAACCCTTGTCCCCTCCGACTTTATTAACTTTTCTATTACAATCCAGCAGTAGAGTAATCTCATGAAATGAATAAATTAATATTAAGTAAGTAGGTATTTATCCTTCCAGGCTCAAAGCATATGTGTTTTCATGACCACAAGGACTTGCAAAATCCATTTTTGCTGCCTTCTTATTCTAGGGCTGCCATACGACCGGGAATCGCTAAGCAAAATGTCGTCTGGGCAGATTCTTGCTGAATGTCCGGGAAAATCTAGACTTATGGCAAGATTAATAATAATAATAAAGCCCCCAGAGCTTTTCCAGATGTTCAAACAAAACAAACAAGAAACACCTCAACAACTTTGAAACTCCCCACAAAAAAGCAGCTCGACAGCTCTGTCCAGATTTTCACTTTGGGGAATACGGCAACCCTAATTAATCCCCAAACCATGAGTTGATAATTTAGAAGTAACTGATCAGTATTTCCCAGGACGTGGGGTTTCCGATATTTTTTGAACTGTCTGCTTTCAGGGGACACTTTCCATACCGACCCAAATTTTAGAGAACAACATAATTTCCCCTCAGGAACGAACAGCTGAGGAAATGCTTCCTTGGCAAGGCACCCTCTGTAATCAAAGGTGCCGAGCCGCCTGCCAGAGACTGAGCTGTTATGTATCCTTACTATTGCTTTTAAAGGTGTAGATCATGCCTGAGAAGCGCTAATGAGTGCACCGACTAATTAACAAGGGAAACCAGCCAGATGAGTAGGAGCATCAAACTCCATTGGCAGAGCCCATGTCTTGCAAACAGAAGATCAACCCCCAGCAGCGTCTCCAGGTAGGACTGGGAGGACTGGAGACAAGGCTGACGTTGGGCTCCCATCCCCAAACACGCCACGACTCTTGCTTGAAAGGAAGAAAGGCGGATAAAATCATGATATGGAACTGACGACAAGAGGCAGGACTATGAGGATGTGGAAAATGCTTTGGAATTCAGACCGTGGGGAGTCAAAAAAACCAAGATTACAATTTGGAAGACAATTGTACTTTTTTATTTTAGTTTTTTATCTTTATTGGATTGGATTTGATATGTTAATTGGATGTTCTTATTGGAAAATTAATAAACACTTTTTAAAAGAAGAGGAAGGAAGGAAGAAAAGCATCTTTATTCAGGCTATTAGCGCAAGCTTAGAAGTGAATACATGAGCAAGGGAGCAGGTTCATAACTGAACAGAAGCTATGGAAATGTCCCGACAGTTGACACGCACACCGGCAGGCTTTTAAGGATGATACTCGCAAAACAATTTTTCTGCTGTCTGTGCATCTGGGCAGCTTTGTCTGATTCCAGCTGCAAAGGGGGCACCTGTTTCTCCGTGACAAGCCTGCGTCCTGCCTGCCACCCCTTTCTGATCCCTCATTCTGGTCAAACTCCTTCTCCCCATTTAACAGGCCCTCCTACAGTCCTGCAGACTGAGCTGCCTTCCCAGGATCTCTGTAAAAATTCATCTCACGGTTGCATAGGGAATGCCTCTCATCCTTCCCTTTGCCCTGGCCCAGCCGGCTAAAAAGGGCCCCAGACGGGAATCCTCAGTGGAAGATGTGCAGCTCTTGAGGGCTGCTTGGCGCAAATGGAGGGAAGATACACAGTCAGCAGAGCTAGAAGGAAAATTTGTAAGGTAAGAGTCATGTGGGACAGAGCAAAGATGAGGTGTGGGCGGCTACGGATGTCAGAAAAGATGGCATCCCTGTCATCGCAGAGACCTGGCTGGCCTCCGAGATTACGAACCATCTCCAGGTTTGTTATTTCAGTTTCCAGCTGTGGGCTTTCCTTTAAGGTGGGGAACGTGGGCTATTCTAGGGTCCATATTCTGAGTGACGTTAAAACTGCATTCTCTTCTAAACATGAGAACATCTAGGATATCCAATTAAGCAGCAGAAGCAAATCCTCCAGACATCATGACGTCATCAGCTGATACTAGAAAACGAAAAGGAAGGAAAATTGGTTCCATGTCTGGCATCATCGGCACCTTCAGGGTGAATCCCATGCTGACAGTGGACATCTTGGAGGAGTCTTGGAGAACCTGAAATGAGAACATTTTCAAGGATACTTTCAGAAAGATGTGGATTCCCATCGAAATAAGTGTTTAATGTTGTAGCCTGCCCAGGGACGCAACGGAATGGGATGGGTGACAGGTTAAACAACAATTTTAAAAAGAACCTAAGAAGAGCTGGCTGGATCAGGCACAGGAAATCTCTTGTGATTTCCAGAACTTTTGTTCAGAAACACGCTGCCTCCAGTCATGGAGGGGAAAGCATAACCATGGTGGCTGGCAGCCAGCAATACCCCTCTCTTGCATGAATTTGTCCAACTGAACAGTTCCAAACGCTGCACCCTTTCTTCATACAGGACTTGCCCTTTCATCCAAGAAAGGGTCGGTGTGGCTGGAACAAGGCATCCGCACCCAGAATGAGCATCAGCAGTCCAGTTGAAATGCAAAATGGGCAAAGGTGACAATGGCCAGAGCAGCTTTCTCCGGAAAGTGCTGAAACTAGTGGAAAGCTGGTGGAAAAGCCATACATTGTGGGCCCTTTTAGACGGTTTCTCATGAGAGTTCAGGCAAACAATTTGGAATGGTGCCACTAATTTGGCTAAGTATGCCGCACCTCAATTTCCTCTAGATTTCCCTGGATGTTCCAAGCCACCTTCCCACATTCAGCATTACATTCAGAAGGCAGGGAGCTCCTTTCAATGCATCTGACCTTGGGTTCATCTAGCAGAGGGTTGTCCCTCCAGCAGGACTGGGGAACTCTTTGAATCTGAACTACAAATCTCAGCAGCTGCAGGAAGCAGAGGAGACGAGGGCTGTAGTTTGGCCATGTCTGGAGGGCCAGAGGTTCCCCACCTCTCTTCACCAGAAAGAAGGATTCCCTTTCCAGGGTTTCAGGGGAGCACCTGGCTCTGCCAGACCTGCCTCATGCAAGAAAGGGTCAGTGGGGCTGGAACAAGGCAGCCCTGCATAGAGTGAGCCTCAAAAACCCAGTTCAGCTGCTCCATGGGCAGCAGGTGTGACCATGGCCAGAGCAGCTTTCTCCAGAAAGACAGGGAACAGGGACACTAGGCAAGGTTTTGCAAAACCACGCAGGACCACGGCTGCTATCTTCTTTTCCTAGCTGGCTCCAACCATGAAAGTACCCAGTTTCGCATTTCTAAAAGCCCCAATACAACTCTAGGTTAAAATTTTCTGTTGAGCCCTAAACAACCCCAGTAACACAACTCCTAGGATGTGGAGATTTGAGTTCTTCTTCCCAAAATTGCTTCTTGTCTCTCAATTGACAGCTAATTGAGTCAAACCAAATTTCAAAAAGATCTCTGTTCCATAATCAAACAGTTCCTTCCTTCTCTCCTCTAAGAAGAAATTCAGTTAAAGACAACTTACCAAGTGATGGAGAAGCCGAGTGGCGGGAGAGAGGAGATGTTTCAAGGCACTGGTGGAAAAGCCTTTTATACAGTTTCTCTCTGGACTTTTTGGGCAACAGTTTGGAATGGCGTCACTAATTTGGCATGGGGTCACTAATTTGGCTAAGTATAATCTTTTGTTGGAAGCTGCTCAGAGTGGCTGGGGAAACCCAGCCTGATGGGTGGCGTATAAATATATTATTATTATTATTATTATTATTATTATTATTATTATTATTATGCACTCTAGATCTTTAAGCTGTCTCCTGTGGGAGGGAGTTCCGCAGTTTAATTACATATTGTGAAAATTGTTTTTTCTTTTCTCTGGAGGGGAATTCCAGTAACACAGGGTGGCGGCTGTCTTGATTAAGAACTGGGGTAGCATTCCAGTGGGATGAGAAAATGCCATTTTGCCCCACGCCGATTTCCATAATGGTAAACAGCAACTCCTGGGTATGAGGAGCAGAGCGCTGCCCTTCCTCTTCACCCTGTTCTCATCTCAGCGCGGTCCTTTGCCACACACCAACCCTTGTGCGAGAGGGAGAAGCAGGCGGCCATTTTCCTCGGGAGAGCAACGGCTTGGAGCCACTAGTCCTCTCCATGGAACATTGCTGTGGGGCTTCTGAGCGGTTCTCTGTTTTCCACTGAAGGAGAGACAAGAGTCTTTTAGGAAACAGCTCTCTAGTCCCTTTGGCAAACGGCTAAGGCCCACAGCCTTTCCTTTATAGTGGATTTCAGTGGCCATCTTGAACCCCACAGCAAAAGGGCCGCTTCCCACAGAGGCAAAAGGCTCTTCCCATGACTATGGGACTCTCTGTGCCTTCTTCAACGCATCTCTTACGCCCATCTCTTGTGGCTCATTTCAGGGAACCAAAAGAACAAGGGGAACCATTTTCTCTCTCCCATGTGCCTCCTCCGAAGGACTGAGGGGGGGGGGGAGACACACGGTGGGTGGTGACATTTTTGCAAAGCAATTTTCCTCTGCATGTGATGTTCAGTGATATTATTTCTATTTGTATTCATGTGAATGCTTTAGCATGGCAGATGCATCTTCCAAGTGGATATACAGCAGAGGGAGGAAGTTTGTAGACATGGCACAAGAGACTCCTCCTTAAAGCTTAGGAAATGGGAGTGATTTGAAATTTTGTTTCCTAAAGCTAAAACTCGTCACCGTTCATAATATTATATTTATTTTATTTCACAGCATTTAGAAACTGCTTGATTGGAGTGGAGAGCAGTTTGCTCCCAGGGAGTCAGTTCAAATCCAGGGCATTGGAAAAGAAAAGAAAAGAAAATTTTTCATAGGCGTTTGGTTTGCCACTGTGAGAACAGGAGACTGGGCTAGACTGGGTCCCCTCTGGCCTCATCCAGCAGCCAGCCGATGTTCCTATGGAGCCTCCAGGTCCAGAGCAAGTCTATCTGGATTCCTAGGTTCTTAGGGGCATCGGACCATTACAGAGACACGATGCTGGACTAGGTTGGCCCCCTTCGGCCTGATCCTGGTATTTGGGCTCTTCTTACGCTCATCTGATTCCAAAGTGAGTTTCTCAGCTTTAGAAGTTTATTTCCAGAAATTCCAAGGCCACGTTTGACCACACTTTGCTTGGCGACTGACAGAGAGATAGATAATTTATTACGGTCGGAGACCAGCTTATAAAACAAACTTGGGGGTACAGTCACAGAAGGAAAACAAACAATTAAAACAAAGTACAACAATAAATTTAAAAACAAAGTACAACAATAAACTACCGCAGGGAGCTGACCCAGAGTCACCCATAGAACCAAGTTGGGGGGTTTTCTTAACGAATTACAGTGGTTCCTCAGGTTAATTCGTTCCGGAGGTTGGTACTTAACCTGAAACTGTTCTTAACCTGAAGCACCACTTTAGCTAATGGGGCCTCCTGCTGCCGCCTCGCTGCCAGAGCCCGATTTCTGTTCTCATCCTGAAGTGAAGTTCTTAACCTGAAGCACTATTTCCGGGTTAGTGGAGTCTGTAACCTGAAGCGTATGTAACCTGAGGTACCACTGTAGTTTAAGTTGGGAGATGGTCTACGCCTACAGATCTGTACTGCATTTTGTGCCAATGAAACCTTAAGGATGGAAGTAGTAGCAGTGTGATGGCCTGGGACTCGGGTTCGGACTCGGAGCCAGAGGAGTCTCAGTCCGCACCGGATCCTTTGCCTCAGGCATCATCTGAACCTAGTCTGGGGCCTGATTCTGAAGAGCCCCAGTCTGCACAGGTTCCCTTGCAACAAGCACCAGCTGGTCCAAGTCTGAGGCCTGATTCTGAAGAGCCCCATTCTGCACAGGCTCCCCTGCAACAAGCACCAGCTGCGCCGAGTCAGGGGCCTGATCCTGCCCTGGCTCCAGATGCGGGGATGACCTCGTTGCCTCCAGCTGGGCCATCACTTGCAGCTGCTCCACTACCGGTTGGGTCAGGAGAGGCTGAGGCGGCCTCTGGGTCTAGTAACCCACCGACGTCTCCCGAGCTGCAGAGACTGAGGTCTGAGAGAAGGAGGGACCTGAGTACTCGCAGGAGGAGTGCTCGCCTTCAGGCAAGACAGGGAGGTGAGTCGCCGGGGGATCAGGACCGGCCGTTACCCTGACAAAGATAAAGGGCTGTCGGACCCTGCCCCAGGTTGTGGGAGCAACGTTGCTGTTTGCCAGAACCTGCCTGTGATCCTGTGCCTGACCTTGCCTGGTTTCCTGCCTCGGCCCTGTTGGACTGACTCCTCGCAGAACCCTTGGATTCGGGACTGGATCTGGACCAGGTTACTCCAGGGCCCAGCACAAGCAGCAGCCCTGCATGCAGAAAGTCTCAGGTTCATTCTCCCGCTTCTCCAGGTAGGACTTGGGGGAGGGGGAACAGTATCCTGAAGAGCTTCTGCCAGTCAGTGTCGACAGCACTGAGCTACACTGGTCGATGGTCTGTCTCTGTATGCGCAGTTTCCTATGTAGCTCATCCCTGCTGGGGCATCCTTGCTATTTTCCAGGAATCTGCCTTGCAGAGCAATGGAGATGAGAGAAGAATAACTCATAAAGTGATGGCGGTTAATTAAATTGAATTGCAGGGCAGGTTAAATTAATTTAATCCTCTCAGCAGCCCGAGAAAGAGATTCCGGCTCTTTAAATTCAACAACCTATAAGTTATAGGCAGTTGCTGCTGTTTAGTTAAAGTGCCTAAGGTGGCAGTCCTACGGCCACACACATACGTGCGAGTAAGTCCCACTCAGAGCAACTGGGCTTGCTTCGTTCAGAGTAGAGGTGGACAGGATCCCACCCTCCACATTTGATACTTAGGTCCCATCTGCACCATGCATTTAGAGCACTATGATACCACTTTAAACATCCATGTGTTATAGGAATTCAAAGGTCTTATATATATAAAATAAATGTTCAATAAATGTACAAGGCAAACACATACATAAGTACAGTGGTACCTTGGTGTGCAGGGGACGCGGGTGGCGTTGTGGGTTAAACCACAGAGCCTAGGGCTTGCTGACCAGAAGGTCGGCGGTTCGAATCCCCGCAACGGGGTGAGCTCCCGTTGCTCGGTCCCTGCTCCTGCCAACCTAGCAGTTCGAAAGCATGCCAGTGCAAGTAGATAAATAGGTACCGCTCCAG